CAGTGGAATTGTACAAAATCAAATCATTAATTTTTACACCTGGTATTTCAATCACCAACGGTGATCTCATGGTACAGTAATTGATAAAACAAGAAGAACTGTCATTAGCTTCACCCTGGCTTTCTAGCTTACTAGAACTAAATAAATGATGGCAATAACCATTATCTACAGGAAAAAAAAGTAATGACAAAATGATTATAGGTTTAATCACAAAATGAACTTAATCCTTGTTGATTTTGTTCATATCTGCTAAAGCACTGATGTCTATAAATATGAATTGATAGCATGGTTCTAAATTTAATTCTGAAAAGATGTGGAGACTTGGACAAAACATAAGCAAACTATTACATCATATATGAGGATTGTTTGATGGCTACCTGGAAAATATCAATTACTTTGAAAGAGCACAAAACAAAGTGAAAGTGGAAAAAAGGCTTTTTATACAAAAGTCCTTTTATTAGTTCTATCCTCTAAAGTTCCAAGTCATTGAGTCTTAATATTCCTGGATTCAATTTTAACTAATATTAATTTTAAGTATTACACTCAGGCTTTGCACAACTAGAGAGAGTAAGATATGGTGAACAAAAAATTGCTTATTTCAAAGGTAGCCATTTCTTTAAACTCATCCCATCCACTTTTCCCCAGCTCCCAATGTATAGATTATCCTTTAATCACACAAATTCACTCTCCACTCCCAAATATACTTTCCCAATTAGATGATATTTTTACAAAAGAAACCATGCTCACGGACAGAGCAATTTAAACTATTTGTAAATGGAATAAAAGAAAACTACAGAGTATAAAAAGATACGAAATTGAAGTAACACTGATATACATCTGGTTTTTAATTTATCAAAATACCTATTAATGGTCTGAACAGGGGAGTAGAAGGAAAAGAGCTATAGGGAAATGACTTCCTACAGTTATAAAATGCCAATTGCTTTAGAATGCACAATAGCCTTAGTAATAAAAGAATCACTTGCTGTTTTCACTGAGTTTATGGTGTTGAATATTGTTTACATCATTTTAATAAAAGCACTTACATGAACATCTGCAATAGTTCATATCAGAAAACAGAAAGTTTCTCTCAATAAAGACCTAAAAAAATAAATTTTTATCTTTGTCAACTCCCTTTCTGGGGATGGGAAATAAAATAAAATGCTTCCCTTTAAAATAAAAATATTAATTTT